TTTCTTTGAAACCCTCTCCATCATTTCTTATAGCACAATAGTATTACATCATATCTGTATATCATAATTTGTTCATCCTTTCCCCAATTTATAGGCACCCCTCACATTCCCATTCTTTGTCACTTCAAAAAGAGCTGTAAGTATTTTCGTACATCTTTAGAGTTTATTTCACTTAGGACTGATCCCTCCCTTAGCTTACTGTCCTTCCAGTTGCTTCTAGTTAGTTGCCCCTCCTCACCCTTCCCTTTCTTATTTTCCTATTGAATGAAATGTATTTCTGTTTCCAACTCAGTGTGTGTATACTCTTCCTTCTTTTGACCATTTCAGATGAAAGTGAGGTTCAAGTATCAGCTGCTCTCACATGCCTTCCTCATTTATATAAATGTCTACTTGAACATTCTTGATTATGTGAGATATTTTTCCTAACCTCCCCTGTCCACTCCCATTCTCCCAGATCCCCAGTAACCCTTCCCCTTCGCCCCCCCCACTGTGTTCCTCTTCCCCTCTCTTTCCATTGTTTTCTTAAGATCAAGATATAATAAAACCATTCCAGTGCCTTGTCTAATTAGATTCCCTCTATGAACCCTGATGATGATAGTATTTAGAGGAGACACATCATCTCCCACAAATTTGAATGTAAGCAGTTTATCGTTTATTATCATTTGTTCATTTTATTGTTTTATGTTTCTCTTCACTCCTATGTTTGAACTTCAGAGTTTACTGTAGCTTTTGAATGCTCTATTTCATTAAAGCATTCAGTTTTTCTAGGTTAATTATTCTTGGCTTTAAGACTGGAATATAATATTCTAAGTTCTCTGCTCTTTCATAGTGGCAGCTGCTAGATCTTGTGTGATTCTGACTGTGGCTTAAAGTCTTTCTTTCAGGCTGCTTGTAGTCTTTTTTTCTTTGACTTGGAATAGCCGAATTTGGGGTATTATATTCCGAGGAGTTTTCATTTTGGAGTTTCAGGAGGTGACTGGATTTTTTTTTTCCTATTTCCACTTTGCCCTCTGCTTCTGGGCAACATTCTTTTAAGAGTTTTTTGAAATTGCAGGTAGTCCAGTGATTCTTAAATTGTTGTCCTTGTTGTGTTTTCCAGGTCAGCTGTTTTTGCTGTGAGATATCTTACATCTTTTTACTTTGTTTCAATATTTCCTTTTGCCTCATGGAGTCATTGGCATCTACGGTTCCATTCTAATTTTCAGGGAGTTAGTTCCTTGGGCAAGGTTTTGTACCTCTTGTGCCAAGTTGTCTATGACCTTTCTGATTCTTTCTTCCATAGCTCTCATTTCGTTTCCAGTTTTTTCCTCAAGTGGTGCATTTCATTTATAAAAAATTTTAATTCTTTTAACTCTTGCTTCATCTCTTCTAGGTGTTTTAGTTGAGTTTTTGTCCCAGTTTGTTTTTTGTCCCCCCCCCCAAGTATTTGCTTGTAGATGTTATGGTTTCATTTTCTTCTTCTGGGTTTGGGTTGAACTTCCTTGGTAACATCATACCTCATTATGGTGGGATTCTCTTTTTATTTGTTCATTCTCTCAGCCTGCTTGCCGACTTCGGATTTCATGTTAGGGCTGGACTGTGCGCACTTCTGGAGATAAAGTCTGGGCTGATCCTGTTCCTGCATTCTTGGGAATATTGAGTATTGTGTTACTGCAAGGTATCAGAGACAGCTCAGTCTGGGGACCTGCAAGCTTTCATTGTGTCCAAAGTGGTCTGATCCAGGGCGAAGTATGATTGCCGTCTTCCTGGTCTGAGCTTTGGCTTTGGGTCTGAAGAGTAGACCGCTGCTGGACTCAGCCCCTGTTGGCCAGCTGGCAAGCTCTGCTGGATCAGAGTGATAGAACTTCAGGCTCCACTTTGGTCTGGGAATCTTGCCTGGCCATTCCTCTGCAGATGGAGGTAGACACGGTAACTGAGACCCGCTCAGCTCTTAGGGTCTGAGCCACACAGCCGCTGCTTGCTTGTGAGCTTCCTTTCTTTGTCCTCTACATAGAACCTGCTTTACCCTGCAACCCTTCACTTCTCAGTCTGCCCTCGATCTGTGACCCAGGACTGGGTAATGAGTGAAAAAACTGCCAGTTTGCACTTTTCTCTGTTCCGTGCCCCATATGAATGGGGTGGTTCTTTGGTATGGGTTTGGAACCTCCTCTTTCCTGGCCTTGTCACCCGTATCAACAGACCTCTATATCTGTCTATCCCACTATGCCAAACTGGGCTGGAGAAATGACTTTGTGTGACTTTTTCTGGATATCCCCATCAGGAATGGGCATAGTGCAGGGGTTCCCAAACTTATTTGGCCTACAGCCTCTTTAAAAAAAAATTACTTAGCTCCCCCGGAAATCTACTTTAACTCTTTAACAGTTTAAAAAAATTTGTGTCATTTCAAAAAAATAAATATATATACTTAAAATAATGCACCTTAAATTTAATAATTTATTGTAAATTTGTGGGTTTTTTTCTGCATTTAAATTTTGATGATGCAGTATTGGGGTCATGTCATGTAACCATATATCATATTGTAAACAAGCCATTAACTTGGATTTTGTGTGTTTATTTTGAAAATAATGTAAGCACCATGACTTTAATTCTGTTACACAACAGAAGAAATGTGTACGAATCATTTTTCAAAATTTTCTTGTCTTCTCTTTCCTTGTGCTTCTACTGCCCCCTTATTTTTATTCAATGCCCCTCAACTTGCCAGTCTAAAGGGTAGAACCTCATAATTGTTTTCGTTTTCATTCTTGTGGTATAAGTAATTATGGAATGTTTCAGAGATACCTGGGAAGGCTTGTATGAACTGACAAAGAGGGAAGTCAGCAGAACCAGTAGAACAATTAATGTAATAAAGTTAGCATTGTTAAAAAAAAAAAAAACAACTTTAAAAGACTTAAGAATGCTGTAACCAGTATGGGAATATGTTTTGCTTGACATTGTGTGTTTGTTACCAGTTTTCTTTTGTTGTTGTTGTTGTTTTGAATGAGTAGGGAGTAGGTGAGGGGATGACCAAAAAAGAAAAGTGAGTCATTCCATTGGCTCCCTATTGCCTCCAGGAGCAAATACAAAATGCTCTATTCGACGTTCAAAGCTCTTCATAACCTACTTCCCTCCTACTTCCCTTTCCTTTCCTGTCGTCTTATGCTTTACTTCCAGACGAGATCTCTTCAATCCTGGCCTGGCTGTTCCCAGAACTATACACTCAATCTCTTGGCTTCAGAGCCCCCAGGCATTCTCTCTGAACCTTCCTGGCTTCTTTTAAGTCCCGACTAACATCTGATCTTTTACTGGAAATCCTCCCCAACCCCTTTTAATTCTAGTTCCTTCTCTCTGTTAATTATTTCCTATTTATCCTACAAATGGCTTACTTTGTATATATTTGTTTGCATCTTGTCTCCTTCATTGGGTTGTAAGCTCCTTGAGGGCAGGGATTGTCTTGACGTTTGTAGGGCTTAGAACAGTGCCTGGCTAGTAGGGGGCACTTAATAAATGTTTATTGCTTGATTACAAATGATAACAGAAGGAAGGCTAGAAGAAAATATAAACAGGCAGTACAGCTTTGAAAAGTATGTGTTGAATTTCTTATATATTTAAAGGAGAAAAGCTGTAGTAGATTCATGGTTTCATGTACAATTCTTTTTTTCAGTGCTACTGTGTATATGGAAATGCTTATTTAACTTCACAATAAAAAATAAAAGTAAGCAATGAGGTAGACCTTATTTTCTAGGAGTTTGACTGAGAAAGGAAAGAGATATAGGACAGTAGCTTTAAGGGGTCAAGTAAGGAGTTTTCAAAGTTACGGCATGAAGAGATCAAGGATTGGGAGATGGGAATGATTAGGGTTGGGGAAATCTGCTGGAGAAGGAATGGGTTGGATCATGTAAAGGGGCTGGCCTTGTGGGAAGGAGGGCTGCTTTTTCAACAGAAACTAGAGTAAAGGAGATTTTAGGGAGTGATGTACAGAAAGGGAGAAGAAGGAACTACTGGCCTTAATATACGTGGTGATGTCTTCTGCTGAGAGCATGGGGAAAGAGGATCATTTGGGAGGTTTCAGGAAAATTGGAAGGTTTAGTACAGTGTAGCAAATTTAGGAAGAGAGGATCAATTTGAGAGGAGCAAAAGGAATGTCTTACTGCAGCAAGAGCCCATTTGAGGTTACGTAACATGAATTCATGTAAGTTTCTATGTCTTCTAATCAGAAAATAGTAAATAGCTATCTCTTCTCTCTCTCTCCCCCAAACCATCTAGAATTTTGTCCAACCAGTATTTCATATAATTGAATTATTTCTTTTTCAATCTTACTGTGGCTATAGATATACTCAAGTCTGTTATGTTATTATTTAGGGAGTTTCTCCCAACAAACAAGATTGCAACCATTTGAAACCTGTCTATCCTGAGGGATTCTGGCTTTTAGTTTCCTAAAAGTTTTTCACAGGCAGTCTGCTCAAGGTGCTGGAGCCCTGGCCAGGTACCAGAGGAGCACTGTTGGCTGTTCACCTCTCATCTCTTGCTCTTTCTGTGACCATCTGCTCCTGACATGTGAATTCTTAGTGACAGCCTTTACTCATGTTTTTTTCCAAGTTCCTTATAGATTATGCATTGTAGCCTGTTTACAATCATTTCACATCTCTCCTTTGCCCGCTCACTGACGTATAACAATGCTGGGGAAATGTTAGCATTGAGAAGGTGAAACTTTGCTTTCATAGAAAGTTTGGAGTCAATGAAAGGATTTTGCTGTTTCACAAAAGCCATCCAGCCCATTCTCCTCTCATTGTGTATCTGTGTTGTCTAAGTTATACATACTATTGGACAAGCTTTATAAGACACCATGCATTCTAAATGCATATTGAAATCTGACCAATAGAAATTTTTCATCCACTTAGTTTTTCCTATGTGGATGGTCGACCAAAACTCTTTTGAGTGATTAGAGATTTTCAGGAGGCTCTGCAGTGTCTTTGGACTTGAACTTGATGCAATCAGCAAAATTTGATCCCTTCCACAAATAGGAGTATGGGGAGACCTCGCCATACACAGGAAATCTCTGTTGACTTGGAATCTGTGCTTGATTGCCTCCATCACAGTGATGAATACCTTTGGTAAGCATATTTCTCTCCATTTTATTCCTCTCTTATGTTTATTGTTTATTAAACAGGTCATTTAACAAGGTTATTTCTATTGTTACATTTTCTAAGGCATCCTGAATAATTTTGGTGAATGGATGGGAGAAACCTGATGTAAAAAGAGTCTGAAACGATAAACAGTAAATACAACAGGATCTAATATTTTCTGTATCTTTTATTTAAACATAAGGTAATAAAGATGTGGTTCATGATTTATATCACTTTGAAAGCTTTCGTGTTCTCTAATACTGCCCACATTGAGGCTACACTCAAATCTTGTATGGTTGTCGTTCAGTCATTTCAGTCATGTCTGACTCCTCATGACCCCATTTGGGGTTTTCTTGGCAAAGATATTGGAGTGGTTTTGCCATTTCCCTCTCCAGCTCATTTTACAGATCAGAAAACTGAGACATACAGGGTTAAGTGAATTGCCCAGGGTCACACAGCTAGTAAGTGTCTGAGGTCAAATTTGACCTCGGTAAGATGAATCTTTCTGACGCCAGGCCTGGCACCTCTATCCACATTACCACCTAGCTGCCCCCAAATCTTGCATAGATGCCTCTAAAGACTTTGTATAGTAGGGAGAGTTGGCATAGTATGTTGACAGCTATTAATGTTTGATTGGTCACCTCTTTCTGTATTTTTGCCATACCATTGGTAGATTCTCCTAATACCATGCATATTGCTCCTTCATTGGTCTTTATTATTTCTTCAGTACCGTTTCTGTGTCCTTTGCTAGCAACTCCTGGACTGTGAAGTTAAGTGCAAGTGTTTTACTCTCTTTCCTTGAAATGGTTTGTGCAACTCTTCCATTCTTCTTCTATTCGTAGTGCTTCTAATTTTTGTCTTTGAATGCCCTTTGAGGGGGATGACTTTGCTTAGTTTGTTATCTTGTCATGTTGTCTTTAAGCCAGTTTTATTTCCCAGTGTTTATTTCTTCTTTGCGAGTTGATACTGCTCATAAATGTCCATCGTTCTTTTTTATATGCTTTTCCTAACAAGTTTATTTTCTAATATAGTGATGCTTTTGGAAATCATTTTTCTCCATTTGGCTAGAAGTTAAATACTTGCTAACTTAGGTGCTTTCTGAGCCCTTTTGCTCTCCTCCTTGTGGCAATTCATTTATATTATTTTAACTTCCTGATGAAATTATTATAATCAATATCATTTATCTTGTCTTTTTCCCATTTTTTATTTTCAACAATTTGATTCAGTAATTCTTTGTTCAGTTTTTTTGTTGTACATTGTCTTATTTTGTTACTCTTTTTGTTTTTTTCTTAACTAATTCTGCTCTTATCTCAGATAAGTTGATAGTATGTTGATAGTTGATTCAGAAGTAACTCTCATCAATAATGTTTTTTCCTGTCTGTTTAAATGCCTGTTTCACTCATCAGTGGAAGTGACATTAAAGAAGACATTTACTGTAAGGACCTTGCAACCTTTCCATCCGACTTAAAGCTGAAACCTTCTGTGTGTATTGTCTACTTTAGAACTGTCATACGTCGGGGCAGAAATTGGAAAATAACATAATAAATAAAAATATAATAAAACATAGATAACATTACATTTTAAAGCTAAGTCAGTATTATGACCTGCCGAATCCTTATGCTTGATGATGGGCCTATTTTCTAATTGTATCCCCAACACTTAGCACTGAGTATTGGTGCACGTGGCATAAAGTAAAAATGCTTTAAACAAAACAACCCAACATTCTTGGTGTTGGGGCTTTTTGCTTAGCATGCTGCCTGTCAGTTCATTTTTTGAAGAAAGTATTCATGATAATGAGGTGTGAGGCTTCCATGTAATCTTTGACCATTTCTTTTTCCTGAACTTACTTTTCTATATATTTTTCCTATACCCATCTTTGCATTGAAGTAAACAAGTATCAGAGTATAGACGGTCAACCGGACCAAACTGGCCTCTACTATGTGGATGGCTGGAGCCAAACAGAGCAGGCTAGAGACAGGTGAGTCAGGAATCAAACAGAAGCTTAATGTTGCAGTGAGGGAAACAGCTTGCAAGCAAGGAGGTGAACTGGACACATGTGCCGGGGCCACCCCTGGTGAGGGCGTGCTACTGTAACAGTGCCCAGCTATGGACCGTAACTGCGTGCTCTGTTCTGTTTGTATCTGTCTTGTCATTTTGTCTGTGTTTCTCAGAAATGGGATTGGATACAGAATCAGGCCATTGGACTCTCCGATACCAGTGGGATTGGACTAGGTGCTGGGTCATTGGACTCTCGGGTACAAGTGGGAACAATTAGGTGCCACCGGAGATTTATTTCTTCAGAGTCTGACCCCTCCTTGTCTGGTGAGTCCAATGCCCTTGTACCTGCTTCACTACCCGAGCTCTGCTTTGGTCGAGCCCTTCAAAAAACTCTAGGGCCCTCGGGTGACCCGATTTACCTCGGATCACTCGGGTAAGGATATCCTTTCTTAAACTACACTCCTCTGTTAATTGGTCCCTCTGCGTGGCTCTGTGTTTTTAAACTGCACTCTTCTGTAAAATTGTAACTGCATACCTCTATTGTTTCTTAAACTGCCTGGGTCTGCGACTGAGTGCCTCTGTTAGAAACCAGAAAAGTTAGGACTGCTACTGCGCGCTTTGTTAAAACTATCTGTGTCTGCTTGTATAATCCCAGAGTGAAGAAAAAAAATAGGTAAGAGGTTTACACTTTATAGCCGCCTCTAATTAACTCTTCCTTGGTCAGAGACCCTCTCGCTCTTATTCTGTTAACCCCTCTCAAATAAAAGTGTTGGCAAAAAAAATGCTGGAAAAATGTAGGCAAACTTGAATTACGACCAGTTGCAGAAATTTATTAGCTGTGCAATCTTAGGCAAGTTATCTTATCTCTGTTTGCCCCAGTTTCCTGATCTGTAAAGAGAAAAATAATAATGGTACCCACTTCTCAGGGTTGTTGTTGAGGATCAAAATAATACGATGACTGTAAGGAGCTTAACACAGTGATTGGCCTATGCTAAGCACTATATTATTATTATTTGTTTAATTGAATGTAATTGTTCCATACCTGATAACTCTAAAGTGTTTTTAAAATGCCAAAGGTAATAAGATTAATGATTTTTATATGGGATAATTTTAAAATGCGATTGGTGTCATCTGAAGTTTTACTTACGTAATTTTATTTCTAAATTCTCTTACATTGTGAAATTTGAGAGACTGTTGAAACAGAGATGCTAGTAGATGAAACAACTTTTTAATCTGGATCATCACCACCAACAGCTACTGACCACCTGCCACCAACAGGGACAGGCAGGAGCCCGGGAAGTGCCAGTATCCCCCAGACTCCTGTTCCTGCTCAGCTCTCCTAGCCATCACTGGACGAAGCAGCTCCCGTGGAGAAGGGCTAGCCATCCCACCAATGGCACTACCAAGGACAGGCAATCTAGCCTCAGCGAAGCTACAAGGTGTTCTGAGGAAGAGGCAGTAGGCAGCATGTGCCAGTCAAGTCAAACCACCCTTCCCACTGTCACCAGACCTTGAGAGAGACATTCCGAGAGCCTTTGGAGCAGCATTCCTTCCAGCCCGTCATTCTGGGAAGCAACTTCTGTGGAGATGCATTCTGGCAACTGCTCCTGCAAGTCCTACAGTCACATCTTTTGAAGACCCCAAAAAGTCCTTGCCCCCCAAGCCCTTGGTACTGTCAGATAGTTCAGTTTGTTATCAGTGGAAATGACATTCAAGCGTAGGCATTATTGTCTTGTGCTTTGGTGCTGCACCCTAAGGACCTTGGGACCTTTATATCTGGCTTTCAGCTGAAACCTTTGATGTGTTATCTGTCAATTAGAATGTGAGCTCTCCGACAACAGCAAATGTCTGAGCTTCCTGTTTGTATCCCTACAGCTGATCACAGTGCTTTATATGTAGCGAACACTAAATAAATTCATTCATTCATCTTTTCTCAGGAACTTATGTTGGTCCATTAACTGTTAGTATTTTTATGGTGGTCTTCCCCCCCCCCCAAATACTTATCATTTGTGCTGCATGATGTTATGACCAAATGTCCCATGAAATAATGTTTCTTGTAACTTCCAGGCATATGATGAAACCAACTTCATCAGCTCCTTCTTTACCTGGGAACCATCATTCCATTTAGTTACAACTGTTTTCTTTCTTCTCATTAGTCACTAGCATTTAAAAAGTGCCTGTGAGGTACTCGGCGTTGTGTTAAGGTTTGGTTTCTTTTATAGCCAGATCAACCTTGATAGGTTTAAGCTACTCCAGCAGTATGTCCACTAGTTGGCTATGGGATAGCATTACATTTAAGATGCTGGCAGTCATGATGATATTTCTTGATGGCCAAGAAAAAATTTGTGACGCTTAATAGCTTCTTGCCCGTGTTCTACTATTAAGTTACTATCTCTGCATACATTTTGCATAGTGTCATTTTAAATGTTTCTTTGTTACATGGGTTACCATCTGCATGCCCCCACCCACGTGTCTCACCGGATAGCCTGCCTACTAATGATACATATCTCCATAATTAGCTAGGTTGGGTCTTAGCAAACTGTCTCAATTTGTTAATGGGACCACTCTCAAAGCCTTCATAACTTGGTACAGCCTGCCAGTGTTTTTGCTCCACAGGCTTACCTTTTAGGGGGTCACCTTTACAGTAAGATGAGGAAAAAGAGATGAATAAGATGGATATCCACCAATAACAATTAACAAAGAGATTTTCATTTTTTAGCGTTGCTCTTATGTTTTGTTTGTCTAGACATTTCAGAATGTATCTTTTTCCTTTTTTATATTACTACTGGTTAAGGTGCCTCTGCCCAGTTCAAAACAACTTTAACTTGTTTCTTTTGAAATAAGTCTGGTATCATTATAGTATTATATACTCCTTAGGTTAAATTCAGGGGAAAAAAAACACAACCCAATACAGGTTTGTAATTGTTAACTGTAAAAACAGCAGCTGTTTCATGTAGTCCTTCATTTTCTTAGCTAGAACATTGGAGTTTCTTGTGTAGCAGAGTGACATGATCAGAACCATGTTTTAGGAAGATCTCTTAGGCAGCAGTGTCAGGATGGATTGTAGAAGGGAGAGACGTGATGCAAGGTTGGTGATGCTTTTGGAAATCATCTCTTATTTGAGGCAAGGAGAAGAAGAAGTAGTAGTAATAGTCCAGTAGTTACAGTAGCCTAGGCTAGGCATGATGATGACCTGAATGGGGGTGGTCATTGCGTGGTTGGAAAAGAGGCATTGCAGTAGAAATGACAAGGTTTGGTAACTGCCGAGCTCCATGGAGTGAGGCAAAATGAGGAATCCAGAATAACATCAGGGTTGTAAACCTGGTAACTAGGAGGATGATGGTGAACTTGACTGTATGAAAAAGACAGTTTTCTTAGGTGACTTTTTCCACCTACATTGCTCCCAGGTAATGTACATAACGTCACATTTTAACTACATTGGTCCTGGCATCAATACAATTTTTGTTTTGATTTTGTGTTTTTATTTTTAAGAAAAAATTCCACATAGATTTAGGAATATAGACTTCTTTCTGGCTGGATGATCTTGGCAAAGTCACTTAACATACCTGGGATTAAGTTTCCCCAACTTGTTGAAATGAGTTGAGCTCGGTGATTCTGCGACGTCCATTACTGTTGTAAAACTCGACAATAGAAGAATTTGATCTCAAAGTTTTCATTTCTTTCTGTCTTCTTCAAGCATTTGTGCCATACTCCTGATTTAGTAGATTAACTGTATAGAGAAGAACCATTTTTACTTTATTTTATTCCCATCTACTCCTCAGAAGATAATTCAGTTTTGAGTCAACTCTAGAGTGTGTAGATTTTAAACATACTCAAAAGTGAACTCAGAAGTTTCTTTCTGATATATTGTTCCTTGGGCCAGTGTTTTATCCAGTGGTTCTTCTACTTGGTTTGGTCAAGCTTTAAAAGGACAGTGTTAGATTTTGTATCTATATCTCTACCCTGCTTTTAAACACTTAGGCACTGATGTAATTTCCCTTCTGTGTTCCCTTGTGGCACCTGAGCAGCCTGTATAATGAAGATAGAAACTTACTTCGAATTAGAGAGAAGGAGAGACGCAACCAGGAGGTTCACCAAGAGAAAAAATCCTTCCCTGTGAATGCACCTCTCTTTGGAGAGCCCTACAAGGTACTTAATGTGTACAAGGGTATAAATGCTTGTCAAACCATGTGCTGAAAAGAATTTAGTGCAATTCGGTTTGTACAGTGGTCATAATTATTGAATTAGAAAAAAAAATCTAAATTGTAATGGCATGTGGATTAAGTTTAAAGAATTAAGAAAAACATGCATACCACATGACTAAAATTCCAGAAGTTGTAGAACTGGGAATGGTCATTCCCTGATAGCTTTGGCCTGGAAGGTAGTGTAATTTCCCTTTATTTTTTTTATATTTTCCCTTTCATTTTTACTTCTCTGCGCAGAGAGCCATGCCTTGTAAGAAACAACAAATAAGAAAGATAAAGGGCTAAAAAAAATAATTCAGCAAAATTACCCAAAAGATCAACCAAGTTTTGTGGTATGTGCCATGTGTAGGCTCTCCCACCTCTGCAAAGAAGTACTTATGTCTTCAGGGCCAAGCTTGGTCATTATCGTTACACAATATGCAGGGTTTTTTGGTTGATCTCTTTGTATTGTGTTTATTGTTTACTTTCTTCTGCTTACATCACTTAGTAAGTGAAATTTCTCCACGCATCTCCGAATTCCTCGAGTATTATTTCTAACAGCAATACATTTCCACTACTTTGATGTACCTACCACAGTTCCTTTAGCCATGTCCCAATCAACATAGAGCTCCTTTTTATTCCAGTTCTTTGCTATCACAAAAAGTGCTGTTATTCAGTGAGAGTTCTGGGTCAAGGAGTTTTTAATTGTGACACTTTTCTATTTAATTTTTTTTTCAGACTAGCAAAGGAGATGAGTTGTCCAGTAGGATTCAGAATACATTGGGTAATTATGAAGAAGTCAAGGAGCTGATCAGTACCAAAAACCAGAATCTCTTTGGTATCCCTGAAGAAAGTAGCATCCCTTTAACCCCACAAGGAAAATCTAGATATTTATTCTATCCTGAGAAGACTAATAGTGTCCCACAGTTACCATTTTTCAATAGTATCCATCACCAAGTTATTAATACTCCTGCCTCTGGGCCTTCTATTTACATCCCTTCTCACTGTCCAAAAGCAACTCAGTCAAGAATGGAACCAGCTTTGAGCTTACACATCAAAAGTGATGGTATGTCCGGCATTCAGCACCATTACAACGGTCAGGAACGCCATCATAGGAGTGAGAGCAAGAAAGATGAGTGCCGGCCTGAAGGAACCCCTTGTGTGGAGCTTTCAGACTCAGCGCTAGAGATGGGAGGTTCTCTCTTGTCATCTGCATTGTCTTCCTCAGTTGCACCATTGGCATCTCGACATTCCAACCAACCAGCTGGGTCCAGGATGCTGGGAGGCAGCAAGGGTAGTAATAAGGGCTGTGCCCAAGCTAAATCTCCCATGCACCTAGCACTCGAGTCTAAAGAGGAAGAGACACTGCCCTACAGTTTGGCTCTAGTCACTGGCTTAGGGATACCAACTTCCCAGCCTCCCCCTCAAACCTTTCCCCCTCCCTCCCTGCCCTCAAAAACCACAGCCATGCAGCAGAAGCCTACAGCGTATGTTCGGCCCATGGATGGTCAGGATCAGGCACCAAGTGAGTCACCTGAGCTGAAACCACTGCCCGAAGATTACCATGGACATTCCTATGAGAAAATGCCAGGTTTTAAAGTGACTGCCAAAGCCAAACTCTCTAAGTTGAAAATGCCTCCAGAGTCTACGGAGGTAAGTGGAATTCCCTGGGTCCTTTGTGCTTTGTGGACAGAGGGGACCATTCAAAGCATGGGGAGCACATTTAGGGTTGCGTCTGGCATGCTGTCATGGCGGTTGTTGTCAGAGTAGGGAAACGGGCTTAAGATGAGTCACTGCTAATAGAAAAGAATTTTGCAGATTGGTTTTGAGCCTAGGAGCCCGATTTGAGGAATGGAGGAGGGTGGTATATGTGAGGTCTGGGACATAAAAGAGGAAGAACATCAGGGCAAAAAGCCTTTGTGAGGAAAGCCTTTAGAGAGTTTATCAATATTTGATTTCTGAAATTTGGAATAAATGCAAACTTCAAAAAAAAACAAAAACAACTCACTCTCATGGTATCATCTTGGCTAGTTCTTTAATTTTCCAGATGAGGAAACTGAGGCCCAGAGAGGTTAGAAGGTTAAGTTCAACTTCACACAGCTATTATTAAGTGACAGGACAGGATTTTCAGTCTAACACACCATCTCTCCATTGTCTTCTGTTGCCTCTTTTCAGTTACCGTTTCTATTATGTCTTATCTAGCAGAAAAGATCTGTTGGTTGGGAGTTGGTCTCATTTGAAAATTAGTCATAAATATAAGGCACAGTCTGATTCAGTTGTGGGTCAAAAAGTAACCTGTAGAACTAAAGAAAATTATTTGGTCCCTTTTAAGAATGTCATGAAAAAATTATTTTTGAGGGAAGAGAATAAGTTATTTTATTTTGTTCGTTAATGTTTCTTTTCTTTTAATTCCCACCTCACGTTACACTTTCCAGAGTTGGAGGGTAGTATTTTTTTTTTTTTGCTTATTTTGGAAATCTCTCACCAGTTTTACTCTCTCTCTTAAATGACACCCACCCTTTCCTTCTATTTCTCTGTCTCGTATAATGTATTCTTACAGTATGCTCCAGTAACGTGTATGTGTGTTTCTGTGTGTCCTTTGTATGATTCACATGGCATCGAGGTTTATGTGATGCCCCTTCCACCCACTCTTTCCTCTTTCTTTGTCTCATCTTCATCTTTTGTGAGGGAGGAAGTTCCTTCTGTTTCCTCTTCCCTTCTTGCATACTGTATTCTGTTTTTTCCCTTTTTCTTTGTTTTCTTAAAACCGTTAAAACAAAACAAAACAAAACAAAAAAAATGCTCTCCAACCCTCCTCTGTCTTGTTTAGCTGCATCCATGACCTCTGCAGACGTTAGGACGCTGAAGATCTGCTCTGTTCTCATCCCTCTATTTGAATGTTAGCACTTTCTCATTTGTGGTCTCTTTTGTAAGCCAGATGTGCATATTTTTCTAGTGTTCTTTGGGTCTCCTGTGTTTGCAGTAAGTTAGTCAGTAAGGATTTATTAAAGCCTTTGGTGTGGTAGTCACTCAGCTGAGTCCTGGAGTATCCGAAGAAAGGTAAAGTCTCTTTTCCCAAGGAGCTCATGGTCTAATGGGGGAGAGAACATGCAAACAACTATATACAAACAAGCTACGTACCAGAGAAATTGCAAATAAAATCAACTGAGAGAATGCATTGGATTGGGAAGGGCTTCTTGTAGAAGATTAGGATTTTAGCTGGGGATTGAAGGAAGCCAGGGAAGCCAAAAAATAGACATAAGGAGAGAGAGCATTCCAGGCATGAAGGACAGCCAGAGGAAATCACCTGGAGTCAGGAGATGAAATGCCTTGTTTGAAGAAATGGAAAGAGGCCAGTTTTACTGGATCAAAGAGTAAGTGGAGGTGGGGAGTCGTGAGATGTATTATCTCCCAGCTCCTCAGCTTTGCTTCCTCCCCCACTCTTAGATGATGCAGGCGAGGGCCTGAAAAATGGCTAGAACTCGGTTCTGCAGTCTTCATGAATTCCTAGGGTTTAGCTCTACCTGGTAGCTTGACTTAAGATTTTAACCTTGACTCCTTCTCCTTGGGAGTCCTGAATATAGAGTTAGATCTGTCTCTTGCTGTGATATCAATGGGCTTCTTTGGGGGAATAAATCCAGTTATGGAGTCTCTATGGAGATTTTAGTCACTTTGCTTGCAGAATTCTAAATTCATGGACTAAGTCAAAAATGTACCTAATGATAGAAAATGTTGCATGAAGTTTAGCACGTACGATAATTTATGCCATTAAATAATTATGGGTTTGGAAAATACACTGTAAACCCAGTGGTGGGAAACTTGAGCCTAACAACCCTCAACCAGATGTTATTGATTACGCTGGTATCAGGCTTCCTGCAAGATCCCAGGTGCTGGGGAAATGGGGTAATGAGAGTATCTGGGTAACTTTATGGAGAGATTGGCATTTACTGTGCTGGGTTCCGGATAAGAGCATGTGATTTGGCCGAGGTGTTACCAAATATTTAGTCCACAGTCTTCCCTAAAGAAGTCATTCCTGCACACAGACACAGACACACACACACATACACCCCTCTTATGGTAAAAACGTCTGTGTGTGCATTTGTAAAAGGCAAAGTGATGTCATTTAATATTTTGACTGACATGAAGAAATTAAAGTAGTGGGAAAAACAAGGAAGGTTCTTCCCTCCCCCCCAACCCTGGGTCTCTTCTTGAAGAATTAAATTTTCACATTATAGGGATGAGTTGTCGTTTGAGAAAAGAGTAGGAGTGATAGGGATAAAAGCTGACTTATGTTGAATTTCTAAAAAGAAGTTGAAAGGAGCATTTGTTTTCCTTTGATGTGCTTAGCTTGTTATAAATCAAGTTAGAGAGAAAAAACTCTTTCCTGTATTTCTGAATGTGTATATAGTTGGGTTTTGTAATCTTCCCCCACCCCCCCTTATTTCTTTTCTTCCACTATGAAAGAGCAACTTATTTTTTTAAATCTTGAACATACCCTTGTTTTCCTGGGGTTAAAGTTTCTTGGAATCTTAGAGTTGGAAGATAGGTACGGGGATGGAGAACCTGCAACTGAAGGGCCAATCCAAACATGGATTCAGTCGAAGGACTGCACTTGATCTAGAGGGCCACGTGTGGCCTTAAGGCCTCAGGTTCCCCATCCCTGGGTTTAGAGTGTATTCTCCAAACCCATAATTATTTAATGGCATAAATTATTTTACCTGCTCAACTTCATGTAATAGTTTTCTGTCATTAAGCACATTTTTGACTTAGTCCATAAATTTAGAATTCTGCAAATAAAGTGACTAAAATTTCCATAGAGACTCCATAACTGTATTTATTCCCCAAAAAACCCCACTGATATGAAAAAAGGTCTCATATACTCTGAAATATTTGTAGCAGCACTTTTTGTAATAGTTTTGTAAGAATTGGAAAAAAAGTAGATACCCATCAAGTAGGAAATGACTAAAAAAACTGTATAATGGAATATTACTGAGCCGTAAGAAATGTGTGTGATGTTATGGAGAAGCACGGAAAGATCTCTGTGAACTGATCAGAGAGAGAAGTAAGCAGAGCTAAGAAAACAATGTATACAGTAACTACAACAATGTAAATGAAAAGAATAACAGCGCACCAACAGATTAAAAGTAAATGTAACAAAATCCTAAAGATCGAACAGGACTCAAATAAAGAGATATAAGAAGTCACCCCCAACTTCCCCCTTTGTGGAGGTGGAAGGTCCGCAGCTGTTATACATTGCACATGTTTTCACACTTTCTCAGTATATTGATCCATTGTGCTGACTTTTTTTTTCTCTTAAAAATACTATTTGTCATATGGGATGGCTGTCAGGGAGGTGGAAGGGAGGGGTGAAGATACCATAGGATACATAGTGTTGTAAGCAACAGGAAAAACAATTAAAATTTTTAAAAATAAAAAGGCGAGATTGTCTAAAGATAAGTTAGTCAAGCTGGAAAATGTCATTTCTTTAATACTTTGAAGGACCAAGTGTGTTAGTTGCCACAAAAGTATGATTGTTACTTTGAAATAAAAATTTTCACCCAACTATTGCTATTTTCTTTCCCTTATAGATAAAAAAAAGTGCATTGATTCAATTGTTGCAGTTTGGTCCTTTGTGGTTTTCTTAAATTCCCTTCCTCCTAGCAAGTGATTCCCAACTCTTAAAGGATTGAAGGCCCAGCAAAAAGAAAAAAACTTTCCTTCTGGGAGAGGTCAGGATAACTATCTGATTCAAATTTTTCCATCAGATTTCAATTGAAATACGCAGTCATGAAATAGAAACAGAAGACAAACATCAGCTTAAGGGTTACCTAAAGGTTACTCAGATGAAGCTGGTTCTTAGCAACTGTATATATGCAATTTGTGGGGGAAAGGGTGAGAGGGAAAGTAGCTCTGTACCCTGTGCTCAGTAAAAACTATAATACAGTTTAAAAACTTGAGCAGCTAAACTGGTTTCCACAACCATGACTACTTAATACTACAACAAAAACTGTTTATTTGAGGGCAGGAATATTTGCTTTTCTCATTGTAGACCAGGAAATGTCAGATATAGAACTTAAAAAAATCTTGTGTGATTGTTCTGACTCTTCGTGACCCCATTTAAGATTTTCTTGGCAAAGGTACTGGATTGGGTTGCCATTTCCTTGTCCAGCTTATTTTATTGATGAGGAACTGAGGCAAACAAGGTTATGTGACTTGCCCAGGGTTGCACAGCAATGTCTGGAGGCCAGATTGGAACTTGGCAAGATAAGTTTTCCTTGCTCCAGGCCTGGTGCTCCATCCACTGGACCACCTACCTGCTCGTTTAAAATCTCACACAATGTATAAAATCAGTGGTAGGTCCTGAGGATGCAAAGAACGGAGGATAGACTGGTTTTTAAGCTTAAAATCTAATTAGGTGGAGTCAGAAGGACCTGAGTTCAAATTTGGCCTCAGACACTTGACACTTGCTAGCTGTGTGACCCTGGGCAAGTTACTTAACCCCATTGCCTAGCCCCCCCCCCCCCAATCTAATTAGGGATAGTTCACATACAAAATACCAAGAAGAGATTAAGACAAACATTGAGGGGATTGGGGGAGACAGCCTGGAGAAAACTGTTAGCTGACTTGGATTTTAATGCACAGAGTATTTCCAT